TAGATGCCCCTCAACTGAAGAATGGATAAAGAAAATGTGGTACATTTATACAATGGAGTACTACTCAGCAGAAAAAAGCAATGGAATCTTGAATGGCAAAAGAATGGAACTAGAAGAAACCATCCTGAGTGAGGTAACCCAGTCACAAAAAGACAAACATGGTATGTACTCACTCATATATGAATTTTAGACATAGAGCAAAGGATTACCAGCCTACAATCCTCTTCACCAAAGAAACTAGGAAACAAGAAGGACTCTAAGGGAAAAATGCATGGACCTCAAGAATGGGAAGGGGCATGAACTCCTGATCTAATTTGGAGCATGAGCTGCCAGAATGAGAGGAGGAGTAGAGGAGAGGAGAGGAGGAAATGGAGGAGCAGAACAAGACAAGACTGTCCACTCTCTCCATATCTCTTCAATATAGTACTTGAAATTCTAGCTGGAGCAGAAATATTGAGTTGGGGGAAGAATAGAGGCGAGCAGGATGAGAAATACCATAGGAGCCATTATAGGTCTGAGGAGAGATCTCGCACTAGGGAGATTTCGTGCCTACAAGGATGGCACGAACTGACAATCTAGGCAGTTGTGGAGAGGATAACCGACTTTGAGAACCCATTCCAAATGCCTGGCAGCCCTCTCAGCCTGGACACATCAGGGAGGGCTTAGGCCTGGCCCAGGATGATGTGGTGGACTTGGGGGAGCCCCCATCGAGGGCCCTACCACACCAGGGGAGTGGAGGGTGGATGGGGTGCAGGGTAGGTTGAGAGTGGGGGAAGGGGGAGGGTAGAGAGAGGGAGAAGGGATTGACATGTGAAACAAGCTTGTTCCTAATTTGAACTAATAAAAAAAATGAAAGAAACCATCCCCGATGGTCACTAGCCATGACCTCATCTCAGGAAAAACCAGCGCTTTCCAAATCATTCATGTCAAATAGTAAAAACTTTCCCAGCAATAAAATTTTATGTGACTGTACATGTGTCATCAAAAGTGAGATTAAGTGTCTAGTAATGAAAGCTTTTAATAAGAAAGAGTTAAAATAGTTAAAATATCTCAATACTTCAAAAATTCACAAGAACTAGGTAGTAGATGTTAAACAATAACTGACCATAAAAATATATTAATTTGATTTAAGAAATATGTGGACAGCCCTATGTTTTAATTAATCAAGGACAATTTTGTGTTTTGATTAACCTTGGGTGATTCTGTTTTGGATTCCTGTGTCACTGTGCCAAGTAAGAATAATGTCGTATGTTTGGGTTTGTTTAACAAAAACATTCCCTAAGAAAATATCTCTATAAAAAACCTTGCTTGAGAACTGTAAAATACACTCAGATTCAAATTGCCCCCATGTTTGTTTCTGTTTGTCACCGTCAAATCCTTACCCACCTGTTCTTTGAGGACCCTCATCCCAGGGACTCCCATACCTAGCTGGAGTAGTCTGTGGCAATTATTGTTACTTGGCACAGTGACACAGAAATCCAAAACATAGAACCATCCAGGGTTAATCAAAACACAAAATTGTCCTTGGTTGATCAAAACACAGGGCTGTCCTTGATTAACATAGGATCATCCAAAGCAAACCGAATATTTATTAAATCAAATTAATATATTTTATGGTCAGTTATTGTTTAACATCTATTACCTAGTTCTTGTGAGTATTTGAAATATTGAGCTATTTTAACTATTTTAACTCTTTCTTATTAAAATCTTTCTTTACCAAACACTTAAGCCCACTTTCACTGACACATGTACAGCCATATGAAATTCTATTATTGGGAAAGGTTTTCATTATTTGTACTTATGTGAATGACATGAATGATTTGGAAAGCTCTGGTTTTTCCTGAGATGAGGTCATGGCTAGTGACCCCATCTCAGGGGATGGTTTCTCATCTATTTCTTTTGTTTAAAATGTCAGCAGGGGTCACTAGCCATGACCTCATCTCAGGAAAAACCAGCGCTTTCCAAATCATTCATGTCAAATAGTAAAAACTTTCCCAGCCTGGTTGAAAGTTCCACAACTGTTTCCAGGAGACCTCCTTCTTTTGAAGTTATCGCCTCAGTCTGTGGAACTTGTCACACAGAATCTACCAGATTTGGTGTGGCAATGGTCACACATGCTTGTGATCCAGCTGGTTCCCTGGGCTTTCTGGCCAGTTTTGTGTGCTAGGGAGTTCTCAACAAGTGAGAAGACCTGTCCAGAAAAACAAAAAATAGTGGATGACACTCGTGAGGAGTGACACTATGTAGTAGTCTTCTGGCCAGCACACATACATGTATACCCATAAGTATGCACAAATTAAAAAGATGGATGGGAAAATATTTAAATGGTAGAGTGTTTATCTGGCATACACAAGGCCCCAGGTATAATACCAATCCTGAATAAAAAAAATCCTGGGGAAGCAATCATCCTCCAAAAGTCTTCCTCCAGCAGAGACCCCACAGCCAAACATAAAGAGGAGAGAGAGCCTAAATTGGAGATCTCCATCAGGTTCCTTCCCTCAGAGCTTGGGGAAACCCCATGGAAAAAGGGGAGGAAGAATTATAGGAGTGAGAGAAGTTGAGGACAGTGGAGAACACAGCCCACAGAATCAACTAACCTGGGCTCATAGGGGCTCACAGAGACTGTAGCAACCATCAGGGACCCTGCATGACTCTGTTGGGTCTTCTGCATACACATTATGTTTGTGTAGCTTGGAGTTCCTGTGGGACTTCCAACTGTGGAAGGGGGATGTCTCTGACTCTTTAGCCTGCTCTTGGTACCCTTTTCCTTCTACTGGGTTGGCTCATCCAGCCCTGATATGAGGATTTATGCCTAGACTTATTGCTACTTGTCACACAGTGTTGGGCTGATATCCCTGGGAGGCCTGCTCTTTTCTAAAGAGAAATGGAAGAGGAATGGATCTGGGGTGGGGAACTGAGAGGAGAGGCGATAGGGGAAACTGTGGTCAAGATGTATTGTGTGAGAGAAGAATGAAAAAATCTGGGGGAAGGGAAGACTGCTCTTGCACAAACCCAACCACATTGCATTACCATGGAGACAAGGTAAGTTACACAGTGTGTGGCTGCTGCTATTTCTCAGTTATTTTAGTAACTTCGTGGTTAGAGAGATAGAGTCCACTTTCTTAACCCAAGTTAAATCTTTTGCTAGCCATATGAGTAGTTTTATATATGAACCTTCACCCCCAGAAACAGGAATGGCATGTGGATGAGCCAAACAACATCCAATGCCCTTCACTTGCATCAGATTCTTTAAGAGTGACACAGGTAAAAGCCAAAATAATCTCTAGGTTCTTGGTTTGGGGTATAGGTCAGTGGTAGGTAGAGCTGTGGCCTAGCACATGTGAGGCCTATACTGCTTTCCAGCACTATGTGTGTGCACACTCACACACTACCGGCTACCATTTGACTTGAATAATCTAGCTGTGTGTTTATAATTAGGTGTTTTATAAAATTCACTCCAACACATATCCTGAAGACTAATGGTGTTTTCTGGATGTCATACAGCCTCACTCTTTTTCCTTTGCAGCATGGAGAATTAAGATTGATTGCTTGACCCAAGAAGATGCGTGCAAATGTATGGACAGGGAAAAATCAACCTCATTCTCCAATTGGCTTTTTTGTTCCATTGGTTAGTTGATGGGTTTTCTTTGCTAATTTTGTGCTTCCAAGACCACAGAGACACACAAGACATACAGAAGAAAGTGAAGAACACTGAAGTCCCATCCAATGCTGGCTGATCATCAGATTACTCTGCGTGTCCTCTGCCCTGAACCCTGTCCCCAAACTTGAACTGTCCTCCAAACGGCATGACTTAAGTAGCCTGAATTGACATACCTGTCCTCCAGAGGGCGCATAAGCCCCACAGACTGGGTCCCATGTCTCTATAACAAGGTGAATTTAGGTAATGTTCCTACTGACAGCCCAGACTTCTGATCTTAGATCTGTTTGTAAGTGGTGTGGATAACTGCCAGGAAAATGAGCAAGCCTCAACACAACCTCAGAGTTGGTCGGCCTGGGCTGTGGAAAGAGCCCAGCCACATGGTAAGGAAGCAGTTGTCACTAAACCGCACATGGTGAGCCTGTGGCTCAGAGAGGCACAGACCTTCCCTTGAAGTCACACAGCCTTCAGCTACCCTGGCATGGCTCACAAAGGTAAAGTTGTCCACTGATGCAGAGAGAAGACATGGCACATCAGGCCAGAGGGCCTGAACAAAGAAACAGGGTGGGAGTGAGGAAGAGTGAAGGACCTGAACAGGATGCCACACCCCACTGTTTGGTTAATCCTCTCACCACCTCTCTTAGACACCTCAATGCACAGCACACCTAAGCTTGATGGACTTAAGTAACAACCATTGCACTGGGCTGACCTCACGGCTTCTGTGGGTCAGGACTTGGGAGTACAAGGGGCAGGTAGCTTCTCTCTGCTCTGTGTGGTCAAAGCTCAGCTTAGAGGGATCAGAAGAGGGTGACCCCAAGGCAGGCTTCCTGGAAGGGTTGTCCCCTCACAGACGGTAGGATTTCACACAGCTGTCAGGCAGAGGTACTCACGTGGCTGCTCCACGATTCTGTCCAGGCTGCACCAAAGCCTGGTGGCCAGGTTCCAAGCATGGCAGCTCAACTGAGAAAGGGCAACCTTGGCGGCATTGCCGTGATGCAGCCTCCAAAGCGCAGAGCCTGGACACTGAGGATGTGGCTCCGTGATAGGGCGTTTGCCTCAAGTTCAGAGAATTGCCTATTGGGGGAAGAAATTACAGAGCTTCTCCAAGGTTCAAGAAGAGGAAACAGACACTGCACCCCCACAGCATGAGTGCCAAAGTCACACAGGAAGAAGACAGTGAGACTGGAGATGGTATTGAGGAAATAAATCACCATACCAACTTTAACTTAAAGTGACCACTTGTGAGTACAAAGAGGCACAGGGGATTACACAGGCATCCTGAAAAGCATCAAACACAGTTGGGTATCACACTGAAAAATCCAGGGGGGGGGGAATGGACAAATACTTTAAACAACAGTACAGCACCTGTAGAAAGTATAAACACATAGACTAGTCCACGGGTTTCTATAAGTCATCGAGAGCCTTCAAGCCCCATAGACAACTAGATGATTTTTATCTTGTCAACAAAAATGTGAAGCTATAATTTAATGAAAATATTATGTGGTTTATACTTTGTAAAAGTTTATTTAAAAAAATAACAGATTGATGGCAGGAACTGTAAAATTAGGAGCCTGCCCTAATTTTCCATGAAGAGAAGCACCAGAGTCAGGGAAGCATGTGGCTTGGGTGCACAGACCCAGGTGCTTTCCTTCTTCACATCAGGTCTCTCTCAGGCTGAATGGTCTGCAAGTCACTCACTTAATGTGCTGGCAGTCTGTGAGCACAGCTGATAACACTTAGCCCACACCCAAGTCCATTTTTGCTTCAAGAAGACCTCAAACAAAATAATAAATAAATAAATAAATAAATAAATAAATAAATAAAAGAAGACCTCAAGCAAAGTGCAAATCACAGACCAGAGGTGAGAATGAAATCTAGTCCTTTCATAATCGAAACAACTATAAATGCAATTCTGAAAAGAAAAATGGAAAATTGAAAATATGAGCATCCTGAGAAATGCTTATATCAGGCTTCTGTGTACATGTGCAGTGTATACATTTTTGTGCACATATTGATATGTGCATATATATGCCAGAGGAGAACATCAGATGTCTTCCTCTACTGCTCTCCACTTATTCCCTTGAGACTGAGTCTCTCACTGAACCAGAAACTCCATGATTTAACTAAGCTGGCTGGCTGGAGAACTCACCTGGCTCCTCCTTCTCCACTGCTGGGACTACTGGCATCTGTGATCACACCTAGCTTTTGCATGACTAGGGAGGCCTCAAACTCAGGCCCTCAGGCTTGCATAGCAAGCATTCTAATCCAACAAACTCTCCGAAGTCCTAATTTGCATCTTACTTTATCTCCGTGCATTTGGAGTCTGACTCAGCAAGCATATGCTAAGGGCAGAAGGCACAAGGCTGACAGGGCTGTGCATTCTACCCTCTGGTGGACTGAGGTTTAGTGAGAGAAGGAGGCAACTACATCATGGTTTCTTAAAAATGCCAAAGACAACAGGAGGCATTGTTACCACTTGTCAAAAGGTTATTTTCCGTCTCACACTAAGGGCTGAGTCTCAGCCCTCTTACTAAGGGCTACAGTCTTTGGGTAAGAGTTGACTCTATAGTGAGACTTGTTTCATGACCTCTGGTCCATGGGTCTTTTGTCCTTTCACTAGTCAGCAAGGCAGGAAGCTGCTAAACATGACCCTCAAATACTGGCCAGTGGCCTTATTCAATAGCCTAATCCACACTCATGTCTTTCTTGAAAAGTCTTGATGGAGTTTGATAGTCTGGCTGTCTATCTGCAGCAGGCTTTCTTTTGGGCCACCAATCAGCTCCCAAATCATGACACAGAGACTTATCTGTTATGAATGTTCAGCTTTATCTTATGCTTGTTCCACTAGCTCTTATAACTTAATCTGTTTCTCTTTATCTACATTTTGCCTCAGGTCTTTTTACCTTTCTTTCATTCTGTATGTCCTACTCCGCGCCAGGCAGCTCCCTCTTTTTCTCCCTCATTCTCTCCTCTCTTGGGCCTAGATACCTCCTCCTACTTATTTTCTCTGCCCAACCAGCCCTGCCTATTCCTCTACTAACTATTGGCTGTTCAACTTTTTATTAGAGCAATCAGATGCCTTAGGTAGGCAAAGCAACACATATTTCCATAGCTAAACAAATGCAACATAAGCAAATGTAAGGAACCTTTACATAGTTTAAAAATACAGCATATACAAATGTAACTCATTGTTACATAGTTAAACAAATGCAACATAAACAAATGTAACACATGTTTACATAGTTAAATGCAGCATAAACAAATGTAACACATCTTTGCTTATTTAAGATTATATTCCACACCTATTACACAAGCATTGTATCCCTACAAACAATGTAAGCAACATTTCGCAAATTCTTTTCAAAGAGTCTAATTGGATCAGCCATACCTGCCACTGGGAAGGAAACCTGTTGTTCCTGGGAATCAACAGAAGCCTTGGAGGGCATGAGGCTGTTGTTCCCACTGTGGCTAGGCAGCTCCCAGATTCACTGACACCTGCAGGGCAGGGACATTGGGACACATCTGTCTCCTGGCTGCTGACATTGAGTTTTGATGCCTGGAATGGGACCCAAAGTTCTAACATTCTCTGATGTCCTGAGCATCAAGGGTGACCTGGCCAGCTGTGAGCACTGGACATCCCTGTCCTGGGTGGCCCTCTTGCTTCAAACAGGCTTAAAGTCACTCCATCTTAGGTTGGACCAGGACCTTTCCCCTGCTTTTCTATCCTTACCTCCAAATCCCAGGACCTACATCCTCTCCGACTCCCCCTCGTATACCATAGCTCCTAGGTGCACGGACTAGTTAGGTGTCTCTACACTACTGTGAAAATAGTTGTCTTAGAAAGACTGGCATTTGGAAATAGTCACAAGATCCTCCACCTTCCATGAGGAGGTGAAACGCCTGGAAACTCCCTAGGAGCCAGCTCTGAGACTTCCTGTCCTCTGTTCTTTGCATGCATAGTGTGTGTCCCTAGGTTGTCTGATTGATACCCTCATAATGTTTATCTCACGAAGAACTAGAGACTTACTCAGCGTGGTCCCCTTCCACTAGTTCCTCCCACCTACCCTGAGTCAGGCTGATGGAGTCAAAAGATCCATGTGGCAGCAGGGAACCTGTGTTCAAGTAAGCACAGTGGGGTCCTCAGTGGCAGAAAGGGAAATTTCCTTGCTGGAGTCACTAGCCTCCTTCGTGACAACAGACGTCCTGGGCCCTCTAGCCAGCACCTGCGGTCTCAGCTCCAGCTTCAGGCCCAGAACACAAAAACTACCTCGGGTCCGGCTGACCTTCTCATCCGGAACAGGTGCCAGGGATCAAGGTAACCCATGGTACAGGGCGAGCGATGCCAATTAGACCTCTCTTCCGAGCTCCCGCTGTCCAGGCTTCTGAAGCAGGAAAGGTTCCGAGAGCAGCGGTGCGGAGCGTAGGGCGGTGACGAGCAAAGCCCCCCCCCGCGGCTCGCAGGGCTGCCCTGCCCCTGGGTCCCCGCTTGTCCTCCGCCCTCCCAGTGGCGCGCATTTACCTGCTTGCAGGCAGAGGGAGGCGGGGCGGG